ATGAATGTGAAAACATCCTTCTACAGTCAAACTCTGCACAGACAGCATTCAAACATCACACTGTAGGAACAGGAACAAACACTGATTCCTGACTGGAGGGGAGCTTTAAACACTACTTTTGGTCAATCTATAGAACTAGAATAGGTATAGTTAGATTCCTCTTATCACTTAGTCTTATCAGTCTGAAATGTGTTGACGTCACTAGCACAAATCCACCACCCACCAACTCTTTTTTATCACTGCTTATCTGGATCAGTGTTGCCATGGTAACAGGGTGAGCCGAGCAGCCTGGATGTCCCATCACCCACTTGAGTCTATCAACACTGCCTCCCGTCCAGAGTCCGTGTCTGCTCCTCAGTGTGCTCCATTTCTAATAATTATTTGGTTTTATCATTCAGCAACAGTTCCCATGATTCCCCAGGCACAGTGCCAAAGCTTCATGGGACATGTAGTTGCCAAAGAAGTAATATTTATATATCTTTCTATCTTTAATATGTTGTATAACAGAAGAGTCAGAAAACTCAATCAAATCAGAGCCCAACACCAAAGATGGCGGGGTGGACCTCTTTGCTCAGGATGTGGAGGCCATCCAGATCAACGCTGACTTGTACCCAGAAGGTGACGGCACTTTAACTCAGGACACCTGTCTTATCGGTGAGGATGGCGGTGTCGGAGTTCCGCAGCAGGGACCCCAGCCCCTCCGCCAGCCCAGGAAGAGGCGGCTGCGTGGGGGTGACCCCTGGCGACTCCGTCTCGACTACCTGGTGGCCTACGGGCCCCAGGGCCGGGGGACGTTCTGCATGGTGTGTTCTCAGGTGCTGCACGAATCCAAGGTCAGCAGCTTCCGACGCCACATCCAGGAATGTCACCCCGAGACCACAACACTGAGCCGACAAGAAAGGGAAGCCATGGCAGCCGCCTGGACCAAAGATTATTCTAGTGAAGGCACACACATTCAAGATGGTGAGATGCTTTTAGCCGCAGTGACTGTAATACTGTAAATACTTCTCAAATAGTGGTGTTTATTAAAGCTGCAGTAGGTCATTTTTATACAAATGTTTTGAGACAGGCCTTCATTCCTTATTTTCCCTGTTTCACCTGTATGTATTATCCCTGACCTCTGAATTGCTGCTTTCTTTAATTTGCTGTAATGCAAACTCACTATTTCCATGTGTATTTATTGTCTTGATGAATTCAGTATATTATCAGTTTCCATCAGCAACAACACAGCCTATTCAGTAGAACTTTCTAAATAGCTTCTACTGGCGTTAGCTTGTGTCACTGAAGCCACCAGACTTCATTGACAAAAACAGTAACATCGTAACACTTCAGCAACATTCAAACTCAACAGACAATCGCCAACTCTGGTTTGGTCAAAAGAAACCCTTAATTCAATGTTAGTGTTAATAATTGTTAATAATTGATGTGAACATATCAGCTCTTTCCCTCTCTAATATTTTCACCCTTAACTTTGTGAATAAAGGGTTTAAATCGTTGGAATGGTGGAAAGACAAACCAAGGTTTTGATGTGTTTTATTTTGTTTCTGTCAATTGTGAATGAAGTGTCATGATCTTACAAGTTTAAATGACTATTTTTGTAAATGGAGTCTGGTGGCTTTAAATACAGCAATATAACGGCTGTTTCTGGTTAAACAAAAACGATCTTATTCCTTCACAAAAAGCTCTATCACTGTAGGGATCCTTTCCACAATGCTGCCAGACACTGAGAATAACAATCTGAGTCTGTCAGTAGAGAAAACAAAGTGGCTGTAAATTGACATGGATTATACTGCAGACAGTTTTGTGGTGCAGCTCTCACTCAATACTGGACCCGTTTCAAAAGTTGTCTGCCCCATGAGTCACTCAGACAACAGGAAAAACAGGAAAATTAAAGTTAAAATACTTTAAGATACCCTCCCTCTCATTCACTTGTTGTTTTAGCAGAAATAAACTCGAGCGGAGAGGATGTGCTAAACACCACAGGAGAGACGAAAGAGGACGCCTCCCCCGATGTCAGATCACCCAGCAAAATGGTGAAGAAGGAAGAGGGCGTGAGCGGGAGCAAGGGTAAAGCAAGGGAAGGCGCCGCTGCAGCCACGCCCTCTCGTCACGGCCATTACCCCGGGAAGGACCAGAGGAGGAACTACCAGGTGCGCTGGCGGATGGAGTACCTGATGGATTACGACTGCCGCAGACACGGGCTAATCTGCATGGTGTGCGGAGCCACCCTGGCCACGCTGAAGGTCAGCACCATCAAGAGGCACATCCAGCAGGTACACCCACACTCTCTGGACTACAGTGCGGAGGAGAAGCAGCAGGCCCTGCTGAGCTACAACCAGACCGCGCTGCACTTCATCCACTCCGATGACTGCTTCTCCTCCCAGGACCACGGACACACCGAGCTGGCTCCAGCTGCAGCTCCAGCACACTTTGGCACTTAGAAAGGGCTTCCGTCCGTTGCTCCTCACACGGCCCCTGTTCAGAAACAGCCCTCCGCCCGCTTTCTTAAAGGGAAATTCAAGTAGGTATCAAACAAAGTCCCTTGTCCCCTCTGACCTTATTCTTGCTAGAGTGGAAATTTCTCAAATCTCTACAATACAGGTGCTGAGTAAAATGTTATTTCGAGCTGTTGTCGTAATTAGGGCTGCACATTTCATCTAAATATTATCAAAATCGCAATATGGCCAAGTGCAATATCCAAAAAGCAGAAACTGTGGCAAACAGGATTATAATGAAGTACTGCAGAGATGTCCTGCAGAGATGTCCTTTCGTACATACCTCAACAGATGTCACATCATCATGGTTTGAATACTTTTTTCAGTGAAATTAAAATTATGTTTCAAAAATGTTCACTCGTGAATTGCAATATTGTTTAAAATTATCCCAATATGATTTTGTTTACCATGTCGTGTGCAGCCCTAGTCATAATGGACAAAAAGAATGAGACCCATTTTACAAATACTGGAATTTCCCCTTTAAATCTGGATCTGAGAGTACTGCTGTGGCAGGAAGCAGAGTAAATGTCATAGCCTAAAAAATGAAAGTCCAGCCACTCATTTGAAAGTAAAGCCTCATCTGCACTGGGTCTGTGTCACCTGAGGACCTGGTGAGATTCAGGAAATGCGTTCACGTTTATAGGGATGCACAAAATCTGCATTTTGCTTAGATTTACTAAAAAAAAAAATTTTATTAGGGCTAAATCAAATCAGCATTGTGATAGTGACATTTGGCTAGTGCTAGCATGTTCACGGCTAGCTAGCATGTTAGCAGATAATCCACCAGGTACAGTAGCTCGCCATCTAGCCTCGCAAGTATTGGCTCGCTGAGGCCTCATTAATCTGCATGGTGCTTTTGTGTAGAGTTCAACTGTGCTGGACTTTAACAATCGAATTTATGCTATAGAGCAACAGCAAACTGTGACTCAAGTGTTTACTTATTGTCTAGTTAGCAAGCTCGCTAATTGGCAGTTATCAAGCCAGCTAGCTTGATAAACTAGCATGTTCCCAGCTACCTGATAAGTTAGCTTGCCAGAGAGAACAACGAGAACTAGCCCTGCAAGAAGTCACTACAACGTCACCAAGCTTTTAGTGTTACCTATTTAGCAAAGACACAAATTAATTTTGAATTCGCACTTTCTATCGTGCCATGTTGAACCACCATGTTTCTACAGAATGGACAACCCAAACACTGGCTGCAGATAGGGCCTTTTAACATTTTTCATACACACCCATGCTCAGAAGGTGAGTGGTATTCAGTTAGTTTCACCACTAGATGCCACTAAATCCTATGCACTGGTCCTTTAACTCTCAGGTCCAGGAGGGGGCCCAGGGCTTGTTTCTGGTCGGGGCCAGAGTCTTACGCTCTCAGGAAGTTAGAAACAGAGTCTTCGGCGAGGCCGAGGTGAGTTAGTTTTATGATAATGTGTCTGAAGACAATGCAGCACTTTGTCCCCAAAAATGTACTAAACCCCAGCGTTCCTTCTGTACAGCCAATTGAATGAGACTGTGTTTGATGTTATTGCTGAAGACAATGAATGCCAGCGTGCAGTCTATTTAATTCTTTGTTTACAGTGGAGGAGAAGGACGCCATCCTCTCTCTCATCCATTATAATGAGATATGTTATCTCTCTGTCAGTTTCCATCGTTACTACACCGGCCTGCATCCTTTTCATCCTCTACAACTCATTTTAGGTAAAACTGCACAAAAAGAATATGTAAATATATGAAAAAAAAGAATTATTTTTCCTTTATACAAGCACTTTTATGCACCCTGGTTTCTACAAAATGTGTTTGTAATTATGTCCAGTTTTTCTACTTCAGAGAAGATTTCAGCAATGATGATCTTACACGGCTGGAGAGCGGCTTGTTGGACGTTTGCTTTGAGAAGTTTGCTCCAGTCTCGGTACTGTTTCATTTCTCCATTCACTGTACAGAGTGTGTGCAACAAAAGAAGTTGAAGAAAAACTTGCAGCTGTCTAAGAAAGAAAAGTCTGCCATAAAATGTCACTTCTTCACCGGGAAAATGTAACTCAGGGATTCTGTTTTCATCAGCAACCATTTCATCAGTGATCTTGGCTGTTGACATTTGAAGATACTGGATACGTGTCAGCTGTGGTTGTATAGGTGATGCTATAAATACGACAGAGTATTAGGGCCACTGTTGAAGCAAAAACAAACAAAAAACTTTTTTGAGATTTTGTTCAAATATTTTGTAAATTATAATATTACAATTAGGTTGTAATTTTCAGGTGTAGCCATAATATATGTAAAAAGTCAGTATTTCAGTGTTGATTCTCAAATAAAGTTGTGATTTGGAAAAAAAGCTAATATTTTGAGAAAAAAAGTAATATATGAAGGAAATGGTCATGCTAGAGTGCAAGTGGAATTTTGAGGAAAAAGATCAATACGAGAAAAAGTGGAATACAAAATACGGAATTAACATATTTATATTTAATTTATTATTTTGACATAAAGTTGTCATTTTAGAGGAAAGAAGAAAAACTAAAACATGCACATATAATTTTATCGACGGAATCCACTTTTTAGGTGGTAACGGCTACAGTGCATGCCGCAAAAAATTCCAAAAACAAAACCCCAGTGTCCCTATTACTCTGTTGTACATTGACAGAATTTGCTCAGTTGAAGCTTTTGATACTGATGTAACAGTGAAGGACAAGCAGCACTGTGACAGCACAGAAACGGTGTCATATTCCCACTTTATTGGTTCACTTCGGCTAAGAATAGGCCCCCACATCGCTCTAGAAGAGTTCTGACATAGCACTTAATTATTTAAAATGAAGTAAGTTACAGTGAAACGAATGATAAAACATTTGCTTCTGTGTGTGTGTGTGTATGTGTGTGTTTGTACTGTGTATGATGGTGTGGGGAGAGACCTGCTCCTCATTTTTCTTCACTTTCACCTTTCATCTGTACATGGCCAACATGTGACATATGTATTCTCTCCTCCATGATCTTTGAATAAATACTCAACACCATGAAACTGCTGCCATTTATTTAGTCTTTTCTGATTCGGGTTATGTTCCTTAGTTCCAATGCAGGGGGCTGATAATGCTACATTAAAGCTACAGTAGGTAACTTTTATGAAAATATTTGTCATGTTTGCTGAAACTTTCACTTTATCCTGACAGTAGGACGTGAAACAGAATCACCTGTCTTTCCTGGCTCTATTGTAGCTTTAAGATAAGATTCTGATTTTGGAATGATCTCTCACATACAGTAGCTGTGTGTAATGTTCACATGTGTCCATATGCTTTTGGCCATATAGTGAACCCCAAACATGACTCCTCCTCATCACAGGCATCAGAAAAAAAAAGTTGACATATAATTATTTATAATAAATAATAAGATATAAATAAACATAAAACAATATAAATAAAAAAAATAAGATCGGATCCATTCAAGTCAAACAGAGTCAGGGATTTTAGCCAGATCCAATTATGCTAGTAATTCTTATTCAGCTAACAGTCCATTAACTACTAACTACTTAAGTTTGTATTTAAAGATCCTCTCCAGACATGTATGAAGACATACACCAATCAGCCATATCATTCTGAGCACTGACAGGTAAAGTGAATAACAGATTATCTGGTTATCATGGCTCCTGTCAGTGGGTGGGATAAATTAGGCAGCAAGTAAACGTTTTGTCCTCAGAGGCTGATTGGGGTGTTAGAAGCAGGAAAAATGGGCAGGTGAGGATTTGAGAGACTTTGACAAGGGCCACATTGTGATGGCTAAACCACTGGGTCAGAGCATCTCCAAACCTGCAGCTCTTGTGGGGTGTTCCCGGTCTGCAGAGATCAATGGGCGGCCAGAGCTCACTGATACACGTGGGGAGTGAAGGCTGGCCCGTGTGTGTCCAACAGACGAGCTACTGTAGCTCAAATTGCTGAAAAAGTTAATGCTGGTTCTGATAGAAAGGTGTCAGAACACACAGAGCATCACAGTTTGTTGGTATGGGGCTGTAGGTGGTCATAATGTTATGGCTGATCAGTGTATATACCAGTGGTCTGCTTGGAACAATAATGTGTCTGATGTGTGCACTGTGTTGTCACAATTCATGCTCATAGGCCCAATGTGATGATGAGCACAGAGAAACTTTCCACTTTCAGCAGATGAATGTGAAAACATCCTTCTACAGTCAAACTCTGCAAAGCATTTAAACAGCACACTGTAGGGACAAGAAGAAACATTGATTCCTGACTGGAGGGGAGCTTTAAAGCTGCTCTGAGAAAATTTGAGGCTTATATCAAATCACGCTAACTGAAAACTACACCACCCTGCTATCTGAGCTGTATGTTCATCTGTAACATAGCTGCTAACTTTGTAACACTTCATTTAGCATTCATGACTGCAGCGTTAATTCTATTATGTAATACCACATAGGCTTTAAATGGGATGTCAAGTCTGCATGTTACTATTAACACTTAATGGTTTTAGTACACTGGCCTAGCCTAAAATTAGAAACTATAATCCCTTCTCCACCCAAACACCATAACAGACAGCAGACTCAGAAGTTAAATCTTCTTTATATATTTCATCTAGATGCTTTTTTTAATCCTCCGTCCACACACTTTGTAGGCATGCTGGGAAATAGTTGTTTTTTTTCCCCCCAAGGCCCTCTGAGAGTAGCCTTTACCCAGAGAGAACAGATCCACCAAGCCAAGGTCCTTTGACGTGTTTTTATTAATTTCACTTTGACATCAGTACAGAGACCACATACTTTTTTTTTTTTCCATTTTTTTTTTTCCTGCAACATCTTTCCCAAAGCTTCAAAAAATTGGAACCAAAGTCATAGCTAATACAAAACAGAGCTGATGTTAGTGAACAACGTCTAGATACCAGTAAAGAGTCAAAAGCAAAACAGGACTTGCCAAAGACAAAAAAAAAGGTCAAACACACTCCTGCCACACACTCCCATACAGGATGAAAACAGGGACAAACAGGAAAAAGAGAAAAGCAACATGCTGTGAGGGAACAGGATCAAATATGTGTCGAGTTTTATTCATATTATATATTACACTCTAAAGAAATAACTATGGTTCTGAGAAGAAGTCATCTATTTAGTCTTGGTAGCACACTAACACAGGTAACATGGCCTTTCCTGGACTAAAATTTTACTTAAAGGTACTGTGCATATGGAAAGCTAATTAGCTTTTACAGCTAATGGGGTGAGGTCAGACTGATAGAATGGTTCAGCTTGAATATTGAAGGTGAAGGTCAACTAAAATACCAAAAAATGTCTCCAGAGGTATCTAGCATGCAGATTTCATTCCTCCTAAATATAGAGAACCGTGGTTACAATTGTAATTTATGTCTTTTAATTTTATTTTAAAAAATTTAAATGAAATTCAGGTAGAGATTTCTACCTCCTCCACAATACACTGGCCGTTAATGGAATTGTTAAGCCCCGCCCCTTCTGGAACCTCAGTCAACTTCCTCCTTTCCTGTTCTTAGATATGCTATGTGCTAGGCTAGTCCATGTTGAAAGAACTACATTTGAAGATGGTTAAGAGATAAAAGCAACATATCCTAAGTTGGCTAATGTTAGCAAAATGCTTGCCAGCTAGCCAGCTAACTAAATAGCTAATGATTGATGTAGATTAGCTAGGTAGTTAGCTAGCGTTTTGCTTACATTAGCTAGCCATCTTATGATGTGGCTAATGTTGCTTTTATCTTTTAACTTAAATGTGGCTTTAATCTAAGATTAGCCAAGCACATAGCATCAACTCAACTGTCATTGGGTCACAGAACAAAAAGTTGAGGGACTTAGGGTCAGTAAAACCCAAACCCAATAAAACAAGAGTTCCACGTGTTATCTTGTAATGTGGTTGAACTGACCTTTAAAATAAACTGAATTCATGTAAACCAAACATGTAATACAACAATGCAGTAGCGTGTATGAAGTTAAGCTTTTAGATGAAAATGACAACCTTGGCCTTCAAAAGCTACAATATGCAACTTCTCCACATTCAAATAAATAAACAGGATGTATAATATCATTATCAGTGTCTGTACTCATGCGCGATTCTCCCCCCTCACTCTCTGTCTGTTCTTTACAGCCGCTTACCTCAGCCTCAGGCTAGCTGACAGCAGCGGGGGGCCTAGCCTGCCCAGCTAACACCTCCAACAGAAACGTTGCATATTTTGGCTTTAACACCCGGAGTCTGAACGAGACACCATGCACGAGGGGGGGTCAACCGAGACATCTGTGAGATGACACACGGCAGAGGGCATGCATGGGGAGGAATGTTTCGTCAGAGAAAACATTCAGCACACAGGCAGATATCTGAGTGGTAGTTTGAGTTACTGCATTGAGAGGCAATGAAAGGATGATCTTCCACCGTCAGCCAGTCAGTATTCAGGGGACATTTATTCCGTTCAAACCTACTTTGGAGAACAATGAAACACGAACATACTTGTCATTTCATTTCCTTCTATATATTCATCCCTTAAAACAATATGGAGACGTAGCAGTAGTGCTAACATATGACTTTCAAGTTGAGTTCAAAAACACCATTGAAACAATCACGAGTAATAATCATATTAAACAAAAGTCAGGGTCAAGAATATGATACAGCCTATATAAAGGGTGACAATCGGTTTCCAGCTTACACTATGACATGCTTCATGGCAGTCAAAGAAAAATAATTGACAGAGATCTATAATAACAACTGCTCCCAAAACTGCCTCCGCATTCCCCAGTACACTCTTTATTCTAAACTGCACCCCCTATTTCGATTACACCTACCCTTGATCGCTAACCTTCCTCTCAGGTCACTGTTGAGGTTTTGTATGGAGTCTAAAATGTGCCAAAAGAATAGTAATAGATTTAACTGTGTAAATAGAAAATATTAATGAATTGATGCAAAAGCAGTGTTTCACCTAAAAATTAAATTCATCTTAGCTAGAGAAAGACAGCTGACAAATCTGTGATTCCATTTTAAATTCAGTTATTAAATCTTTTACGGACAGCATAAGGAAATAGAAAAAGTGAAAAGTAAGATTTTTCTTTTTTTTTCTTCACTGAATTTACTGCTGCATTATTTAAATGCAAAAAATATGATCAATTATAATTAAATTGGGTGTAAACGTTCAGTCTTCATTCAGAATAAAAAAAACCTCAGAAAAAAAGCTATCTAGAGGACCTTGTGTTAAGACTTTTTTATAATGAAACAGTTTAAAGTTTATTTATTCTGGTAGCACAGTCTAGACTTCATAGCTTTGAAACTCCATTAAGCCATTGATTTCTTTAAAACACCAACAGTGAGCTGGGAAGCTTTTTGGGGATTTAAGGGTGCATCTCTTAACTTAAACAATCAGGAATTATTTCTTAGGAGGCTCCTGAAAGACCTCCAGTTTTAAATTATGAAGCTCAATGACACTTAATGTAACTCTTACAATGCTGTTGTCAAGCTAGTAGGGAGTCAAAGCAGCCGTCCTATGGTTAATATCAATAATAGTAAGAAGTAGTTATGAGAATAATCAAAATTTACAAGTGAATGTGAGACCTCAACACTTTGTGGCTTGAACAGGTGCAACAAAAGGAGTTAGGACTGCTGTAAGTGAGGGAACGTTCTTTTCGATATAAAAAGCGAGGCTAATGTGTTCCATACAGCAGACAGCCTGTACTTGTTAAGGTGTATATTTAAATACATAAAACTGTTCAAAAAAATGCATCTGATCAAAAGAGGGTGAACTAGACCAAATTATCACAGCTGGCTCAGTGTTCCAATTCCTTTTATTTCAACCTGTTCATGGTTTAAAAAATAAAAGTTCAGTGCATTGCAGAAACATACACAAGTGCCTGTAAGGTGAATGGAAACAATCTCAATAACAGGCCGATCAGTAACAGCAAACCCATTACCAGCTTCTAAAAATCAACTCGTATCTATCCGTACAACAGTTGCAGAGCAAGCGAGCAGGATAAGACTAGCCACAATAACACCCAAAAGGTTGGTTTTATTCCTTTTTTTTTTTAAACTTTTCATTTTCTTGAACTTTTTCCAGCTTAAACTATCTGTTTACCTTCAGGGAAATATGTGGTTTAAAGTACAGACATTTGCTCTTTTTGTGACATTAACAGCCATCATCCACCCCCCCGCTCGCTGTACACGACGAAAAACCAGGTCATAGATTCAGTCTAGTTCACTCAACCCTCCTCCATTCCCCTGTGGCGCACCCACAGATAGGCAGGGTCCGCCGCGGCGTTACATCACTTCCTCACTAGCGACGTGCTTCCTGTCTGCACAGGCACAGTTCTTTTTTATGCTTTGCAAGTTAAGCTGCGCAGTAGTTTTACATTGAATATCGAGTAGCTCAGAGATTTTCTACCTAGCAAGGTTCAGTGTAGTAGGGTGCTGATGGTCGATGGAGTAGGGAGGAGGAGTTAGACTGGGAGGCAGGGTTGGGGGGTTGGGTTCTGGAGAGGGGGTAGGAGAAGGTAAGGGGGTTTCAGATGGTGATGGAGATGAGGATGATGGTGACAGAGGTTTCTTATTGAGGGGAGGTTGATCATTCAGTTTTGCTGCGCTTCACAGCTCCGGGAAGTTTCTCTTGCAACC